CACAAGTCCAATCCCTATACACACTCTAGAAAATTGTTACCTAATACATCCCCGCCCTAGATGTCTGAAAAGATTGCCTGAAATTCCGATCAAACAATGACCAACACAAAGCTGGGGGGGGGGTTCTCTTCGTCCCATATTTTGCTTCGAATTTGTATGGACAAGCCAGTCGCTATAAGCACAGTTTGAAGGGAGAACTAGAGAGTTTTTCGTAATTATTCAACTTGGTCTCAGACCTTGCCTCAAATCTGCATGTTCGTATTAATTAAAATCTTCAGCCGTTTGTAACTAGCTACAATTCAAACTCTAAAGTGGAATACAGATATAAAACTAGCTGGGGTTCCGCATATAGGCAATTTATCAATGAAACTCACAGCAAAACCCATGAGTCGACGTATCTTTCATCTCTTCGTATTAAAGCAGCGTCGATCAATTTTGGATTCACAGCGCAAGATTCAAACTCACTTTCGCGAGTGCCAACACAGTGCTCTTCTTTTCGATCCGAAAATTCAAGAGTTTCCGCAAGAACAGTACGTTGCGTTGAAGAATTCCACAAGGCACATGTACATATTCCACTCGATTCAAATCTTTACTCCAAGAAAGAGCAACGCTAAAACGGAATTAACCTCCATCTCCATCTGGGGAGTCATGTTGGCCTAGCGTTCTTTCCTGGCCTTCCACTTCTGAGGGCTTGGGTTCAAATCCGGCTCGGTCCAGGTCCACATGTGGATTGGGTTTTCAGTCCCTACCTGATTCCATCGGTTTTCCCCAAAACATTTATCCGAGGTTCCTCCCCCCTCTAAAACTGAACATTTCTTCCTTGTATTAATCATTAGGATGATAATCCTGTAATTGGCGCTAAATGCGCTCTTGGGTGATCAGATATAAATGAACAAATAATGACTCGAAAAGACAGGTTTCCGAATCATTTGTAACTTCTAAAGCAAGACTCGTGCGTCTGTTTCCTCGGTCGTTTTCAACCGGGTAAGCACAGAATGAAAATTTCTTGTACTTTCCCAAGATATTTTGAATCCTCCATCAGACTCAATGAGAAAAACTTCTTTCAATTCGTTCGCTATCACCCCGACAAAGATTCGAAAAATTTCACGCAACCGTTACGAAATGTTGAAATGATGTTTTATTGTTGAAAATAGTTTAAATTTCCATAAACACGTACGTGTAACAATCTGAGCAGCATGTCGTTTAACTAATTGGATATATTATTCAGCCACGGAATCTCATGGCTATATCCTAATATAGGAATGATCAATCGTTCTCTTATAAAGGATATACTGTACATGAGTTTCTTCCTAACAGCTACTTTTAAGGACATAAAACAACTGTAGCACACTCAGCCTACATTAAGAGACTATCCTATTCCTAGCAAACGTGCCGTAACTTTGACAAGAACTCGAAGACAGAATCTCAATTTTTATTTCATGGGATCATCACCCAGGTTATGTATTATTGATTATTGATCTAAAAGGGTAAGGTATACAATAACTGGCAATTTGAGGGTTTATTCCAAAGCAGTATTACTTATTTTAGTTTCTGGAATAGGCAATTCCATACCACATATCAGTTCAGATTGGTTCGGCACTTTACGCAGGCTGTGTATGACAGAACAAATCTTTCTACGCGCATGAGATAATGCGTTATACTTTACACTAGACGTGTCCCGTCATAGGTACATGATTTGTACCCACTTCTCCTGTCTGCGTACTTCTTAAGCCTAATCTGAATAATAATCCGATTGCGAATATCAAACTCCTTTGTCTATCTTTAAAAAACGATTAATTGGTTAATAAATAACAAAATTAAGTGAGTAACAACCAGTGGAGAGAAAAGTAGAGAACAAAACTCATTGAAACGTGCAAGTTTCATTAACGGACCAGCAACAAATTCTACGGATTTTTATACTGTCCATGTATGGTTGATGCTCTGTAACTGAACAAATAATCTATTGATTTTACGCCGAGATTTTCAAGTTCCTGTACATCGGGTTACCGTGCATTAAATTCTTTCTTGTAATCGATAGTTATTCTACATCAATACCTTTCCATCCAAATACCCACATACCTGTAAATATATTTGGATTCATTTTGTGCATAAACGGTGGCAATAATTTTGTTTTATTTTGGATAAAAATTGAAATAAGAACATTTAATACACGCAGAATAGAATATTTGATGTATTCAACCACCAATAAGTATTTTAAGGGAAACAAAAAGTCAAGAACAAATCCGTCATTTGAAGTAAGGGAAGCTGGAAATATCTTATTTCTTCTCTGAGTTACGTTATAACAAATTTGATATTTAAAATGTAAATGGTGCACCATTGTAAGTATCTTCTCACTACTTATATATCTCTAAACAGTTTATAATCTACATATACATACATATAAATTACACTGTACATAAAATACACACACACTTATGTCATTATTTTGTAATTAGACACAATTGCACTGATTGGCAAACTGTCTGAAGTCGGCCAACCGTTTTACTTGATCAACCTCCCTAAAATGACGCCCTAAACATTGCAGTCATTCATTCTTTTAAAAATGTACCTTTTGCTGTATAATTTGTTTTTCAAAGTATTTTTTTTCAAAATTCGAAAGCAATTTTCTCTTTCACTTTTTATGAAGTTTCTCCTCGCAGGAAAACTAACAAATTAATTCCCCCTCAAAGAAAACATTAGCCAAATGAATTGCCGTTTAACAATGGGTCTGGTTTCAATGATGTCCGCCACCACGTTTAAACTGTATCAAGTAGTTCTATGATTAAACAGTGTCCTTTGTGCTGTTCTTTTATTAGTTGAAGTAGACTGGACAGTCATGTTTATTATTGGAATGTTATGTGGCATTATCAAAACCACGCAAGGTGCGCGGAATCTGAGTGGACACCGGACAGACGCGGCTCATGCTATCCTGCCGCGAAGGATTTCTCCTCTAAACGAGCTTTTCTCCACGACTCAACCACACCTCACACGCACGCACGTAACTTTAGCACAAGTCTCAGCGACAAAACACCTAAATCGAATCCCTGTCCAGATTTCAAGGACAGTGTGCAATTCAGAAAAAATTAGTTATCTTTTCCTCTACTATCTTGATAATAGATTGCCGTGTGACGTAATTCGCGTTTGACAGATATCAGGTTATTGACAGATTATCTCGACAGGAAAATATGATAGGCATGCTTGTTGCGTAAAACAGGTGTGCAAGAACAGCTTATTCATTCAGGCCTTTCATTCCTCGCGAAAGATCCTCGACTGGTTGGGAAATATTTTATTGAGGATTGAACTTTTTGCTATCTTCACAAAAGAAGCACAGTAAACCAATACGAGAAGCGACATTGGTGTACATGTACATGTACTTCATTTTGCATCATTCAGATCTTTATCACATATCCCATTTGTATTGGAAGCCCAATTGAAATACAAGCTGTGAGAAACCCTAAAAATGGCCGCAGTATGTCGTCAAACCATCGAGGTAAAAGGGGTTTAAACATATTGTTCAAGGTCGCAAGGAAACGGGCTCTCTCGGTTCCTGTCGCACTGACCACAATATGCATTGGTCTGTTCGAATTTCCGTTTCAGTTGTTACCAGCTTTTGAATACAATACACGATTGCTTGTAGACTATACATTAGATGGCATTGATAGGCTACTGCATAATAAAGGAAACCAATCCCCTTACCCAGCTGGTCCTGGTCATGTGATATTTTTGCATACAAAGGGTTACTGAAATACGCATGCATGTTTTCAAGCCAGAGATCGTTCAAGCACGAAAAATGAGTTTTATGTACACCTTTCCGTGCATGATTAACAAATAATCAAATACAACGGACGATGTAACTTTTCCTTCCCCATGAATACTGTTAAGAGACGAGTAGGTTTTAGTGTATAGCATATCTTCTAAAAATAGACTGCATGGCCAAATTCAAATTTTTCGCAATACAAGTATCACAATAGTGGTATTGCTTGTGTACAAGGCAGCTATATTGTAAATTGATGGTTGAATCAACCATGAGGTATTAGTCGTCAAGTCACTTTGCGATAATTTCAGTACATTATCAAATGCTGTGGGTGCATTTATCATCATATACACTGATGAAAAAGTAGCAAGGCAGAGCATTTCAACTATACGCTGTATTTAAGCATAGTGTACAAGGTATTTTAAAGTAATGTTGAGTACTCAATACGGGCGATTCACATCGTGTTGTGATTGGCCAAGGCGTTGTAAACTCTTGGAGGCGCACTATCGTGAATCGCCCGTATTGAATACTCAGTTCATCTATAAAATTCTTGAGTAAAGCTACATTACTCCAGCAACAGAGTATTCTCCCATTCACAGTTGTAAGCCACATACTATAACGACTCACTCACAGATTGAGATGATTGGCTGAGAGCTCGTCACGTACGTGGCATGTGCTATTTTTACTAGGGCCTATCTTGCATTTCACGGCTAAAAGACCGGTGGCACTGCACTTAAATTTGAAGCGCGCGTGCATTTGGCAGATCATGACACCCTACTGCAATATTAGTCAAAGAACTATGTAACACGCGCGTACCACCAGTCCACGAGCGTTATGTCATCGCATTAATGGCTTCTAAATCTGGCTTTCGAATTACACTATACCCGCAGCAACCAAAGAGCAATACCCGTAGAAATTAGAGAACAATACGAATGACCACCGGCATTGTATGCAAATGCCTCATGACGCGTGCTAGCGCTATGAACTAGGTTCGGACATTTCGTGAAGAGGTAGTTTGGTAAAGTGCTGGCAAAGGGTCAACAGATTCTCCATTAAACGGATGCACCTTTTAGGTGTACATTTAGCTCAAATTACTCAGTGACTCGCTTAAATTAAAGCAGAATCTGTGGGACAGGTGTTATAGAAGAAAAATCTCCTGGTGCTTTGCCTCGGGAAAACAGAATGCTCTGCGGATCAGCTTGTGAGGCAAGCTACACCATTCGATGAAGTCAGTATTTGACATGTATTTACATGTACATGACATGTATTTGACATGTACACTTCACCGACATTTGTAGTATCTTCATTAGCTGAGTGCTACGGTCACATGACATTTGCTAGTTTTGCTACATTACTCCACTCCAATCAGTCGATAGAATGATTTTTTTTCAGTTTTTCCAACTTGGTCTTACAAACCCAACCAGTAGTAAGTACTCCTGCAACATACGTAGGACATAAAAGTCGAGAAACACTGCTCACATATGTGACACTTTAGCGTCATTTCAAGTCAACCATGCCTATCACTTTTGGGGCACTTATGCTGTGAAATAGCCTGTAACGCATTAGAAAAATACTCTGGTATAGCATTTCAATAGCAGTGTGTAGAAAACCATGTAATGCAGGTTCACAGATCTTCAATCCACAAACGAGGTGATTCAGAATTGTTGGAGACCGACGCATAACAGTGAAACATTTGGCAAGATAAATAATATCTTCGCTATAATCATTATTCACACCACTTTTTTTATAGTCACGTCACTTGCTCCGACCTGGTACCGGTTGACACACTGCAACAAGGCGACGTGCTTGCACTCTACTCGTTTTACTCCTTTTCCAGAATTCACAATGCCATTTATGATGTAATTGGCCACAACGGTTACTTTACGCTGAGAACGTTACCAGTATATAATGAAAGTGAAACCTGTCTGGTACCGCGTCCTTAAAAGGCAGCTCACGCTACCCACACGCACTCTTTCACGATCTCTTCACCAGTATCCACCGTCTCGATGCTCGTGGTCGTCATTGAGGAACTACTGTCGTTTTTCGTAATGACCTGCGGAACCCATCCTTTGTACCTCTGGACGAAGGGAATAGCTAACGTGAGCACACTAGCTAGTACGAACATGGCTCCTCCCACGTAGAATGCTATGTCGAACTTCTGTGTGTAATCGTACGCCGCGCCTATGGACGAGAGAAAAACACACAAACATCTATGAAGAAAATCCAGCTTTTAAAGTAGAAAAACCCTCGCAACTCAGTGGCTGTAAGCGTCATATATCTTTCTCGCATGATGGTTACTCAAAGATAGCTTGCATCGTGTTATGAAAAAGCCAAATTTGCTCACTTTGGTGAATCGATGTCGTTTCAGTTAATGAAAGCAGGCTATATAGTGAGCAACGTTTACGCAGAAATATTTTCAAATTGGGATCACAATTTGAACAGAAATCTCCCCAAAAAGAAAATTCATGGAAAATGTTAATTCTTTATACTTTGTAATATGAGTGATCAAGAAAGACGTATAAGACAGTATTAAAATCAATTGAAAGGAATTCCAGGGTTTACCAACTATTGATATTTTTCTTTACAAACTGGTTTTACATGATAAGTACATAGGATATACATCGCACATGAATATAATAAAAGGATGAACAAACCTGTCCACATTTTCACAGAAAAGGTTGGCCTACACTGTGTACATGTTTTGCGTGGGCATTTATGATCTCTTAATAACTGCAACTCCACTTGAAAAGAGAAAAATACTTCTGTAAACTGCGGGCAAAGCCGACAAGTTTTCGGAATTAATTCCTCCTTCAGGTGTAGCGAGCATGTACAAATTAAATCGCAACTGCATGCTGCCATATTTTCTGAATTCAAACGGGAGGACAAGTCTGCCGAGACCCGACAAAAGTTTGTTAAGGCTACTCATGCGGTCACCCACACTTTGAGTTCTTTCCGCTAAGGTTGCTGGAGTTATCTATACCCTTTTCGAGTGTGACAGCGGGGTCGTGTTGCCAATGAGTTTCGAGCGCAACTCACAGGAAGAAACAGCTTTTGTTTTTGACAGCAGTGGCATGCAACCCACATGAGAAGTGCAGGGTAACTTTTTCAACGCACAAGTATATTCAGTCAGGTGTGGAAGTGAGCTCATAGGCGTACTCTCCGAGTTAATGCACACAATTATTGCAGGGAATGCCGGTCGATATCAGTTTTCGAAAAATAAACTCTGCCTTGATTTCAAAGGATCCTATTGGGATATTTAGAGATACCTGTCATGACTTTATCCTTCACAAGTCTTATCGGTTTCGTAATCAGTTTTATTTGTTCACTATTCTGTTTGTTAGTAAATATCCGAACAGGGCAATGCAATGCGGGGTTTTACACAGGCCAGTGCAAACAGGTGGGCGCTTTTGTCAAATATGCTCTTTGAACGTTAGAACGTTGGTCAGACTTTGAAATTTACACGGCTATCTTCAAATCGAAAGATATGCATACTGTGTGCCAAATATACACCAACGTCAGATTTAGTTTTACGAATAGGGCTAACTTTGATGTGTAAACCTCGTAAAGGGATAACATGAATCTGTACCGTACCGTCCTTTTTCAAAGTGAGTTTTCATTACGTCAGTTAAGATACCAATGATGCCATTATGATGATTGACAATGACAATTTAACAATGCAATCATCAGCCAAAGCCCTCGGTATTCGGTTGCGATATTATTCACAGCTTCGTGCTATGAGTGCATTTTCTTGAATCCACAGATCTAGAAATCTGAGGCAGATTTAAACTCAACTATCGAAACGTTTCCATAAATTTGTAAATAACACATCTTTTCACAAGTTTTCCAAAGCGGAAACACCGTCAATGAAAATTCACTCAGGGTGAGGCAAAAACACACGTACCTGCCACGGTAGGTCCTACTGATATTCCTACGCCGGCAGCCAGTAGTGTAAAGGTCCAGGACTCTGCCACAAGGTTGCTGCCATACATGTCCATGACTGCTTTGAACAGCATACTATTAACTACACCAGTGCAGATGCCAATAACTATCAAATAAATCAAGAGAAATTGACAATTGTTACCATGGGCGTCTCTAGAATTTTTTGGGGGGAGGTGCAAGGGTTGGGGAGCAAAGTACTCAGCAGCAGCAAACTGACAATCAACGGCCGTGCAAGGGGGATAAACTCCGGGGTGTTTCAAAGCAAATTCGTGATATCCGTCCTCTAAAATTGGAGTTTTGTCTAAATTCAGCACATAATGGCAAGGCTGCACTAAAGCTAACTAAAGCTAACTGAAAAAAAACCCTAACTGAAGTAGGTCCTACTCTGTTTCGTTTCATTTTATCTAGAAACACCTTCAGCCTATCCGACAAGGTGCAAATTTGCGTGATCTTAAGAAGTTTTAATACATGTACTCAATATTCGATACAGATGTGCTTTGGAGACCTATGCATTAATTCGAAAAAACCAACAAATTTGTCACATTGTCTCAAAATCGGTCGCGAATTACCATCGATTATGGTACCAAAACGGCTCCTTGCGGTCAAATTGGTATCACAAGCCAATCCAGTTTCCTTTCAACGTACATGATTTGCAGTTTTCTCCGCGAATGATAACTGGTGTCCTTATTTTGCTCGGTCGTTTCATACCCCGTGAGCTGTGATCGCCAGGACTGCATGTTGACACATAATAGCTTGTGAACTTTCCCGGGATTAAGCTCTTCTCGAATGGCACGCTCGCACAATGAGCCTGGGACAAATGCAGTTCATCAGCCAATAATTATGTTGCCATGGAAGCCAAACAGTTTGTCACAGTCATGTCACGCAGTTCGTTGTACTAGTCACGCGTGACAAAAAAAATGCAAACGAATTGGTTTACGGAGCAGTCTGCTCTGTATCTCCATTTGTAAACTTGCTTTAAAAAAATAAAAACAGATGTTCGGACATGGACAGTCGGCAACTTTTCACAGGTTTAAAACCCTCTGTCTTCATCTGCCCAACCAGGACCAAGTCAATTAATTAATACAGGAGCACGTACCATTTACAGGCCAGGAGTGTTTTGTTCCAGGAAATGAGTGGATTTCCCTCGACAAGTTAAGACGGGCATCCCTTCAATACAGTCACCGTCCAAATGTGTCGTCCGGATGACATTCAATTTCCACCAGTTGGTATTTAGAGCCTTCGCGCACACTATCATGAGGCACCCGTATACCATGGATAGTAGGCTCCGGCCGCAGATTAAAAACGCGTAGACCACATCTTGCGCGTATAACCATAAAGCGTGGTCAAGTCATGGGCAAAACGAATGGGTGGCACTGAGCTCGTTCAGTGTGAATTGCGCGGGACGCACTCACATTGCCTGTATTAACTTGTTGACGTGCTCTCAAAATTAAGTTCACTTTTTCACTCGTTGGTACCGCTATCTCTTCTTTTTAAATGTCGCAACCGCACTGTTTCGAATCTGCGAGGGCCAGATAAAGTAAACACAGGATTTTTTCCACAATCGAAAAATGGCTTCATAGAATTTTATGGACGGAATTCTTCAACTGTATAAATTCCCTCTATCGAAGGATGAATTTGGCCACGCTTTTGGATTTAGTCGGGTACCGTCCCGGCTACGGTACTCCGTTGTTGTTTTGAATGGGAAATGTCTGTCTGAGAGTTTATATGTCTGTGGCTGAAGTCCGTCGGGGGAGATTCTCTTGGCCTATTTCGCCATTCAGGGCTATCTACCCACGAGGCCATAGTAATTACACAAACAAGCGCGACCCTGTCCCTAGCCACTTCACCACAATGATTTTTTTAAAATTTCAAACAGTCAAAATATCTGTTATTACAGGTCTCGCACAAGCAAGTAAATTGGCAGAATGACGGTATACCGCAGTCAGACACCGAGAGTCACGCTGAGTTTCCCAGGCCGAGTGGAGCCACAAGGCGAACTAGACATTTCCTTTCGTGACGCTCTTCGTTTGTTTGTCTTCAAAAAGAGTCCCAGACTGGGAATATAAAGCATGATGAACCACAAATTGTAGGCTTTGCAAAGAGGACCCTGATCTGTGAAGGCCACGTGCTCCCACGTTTAGTCGTCTTTGATCCTAAAAAACTACATTTCACGGTGCACTCCATGGGGCAATGCGGTCGCGCAGCCACCTCGTCTCCTTGTTCACGTGTTTGCATTTTGCCCCCCTCAGCCGGAGACGTCAACTTGGACGTGAGGAAATGGATTTGGATGAGGTGCTTTCCAAGTTGGCAGCAGGAAAAGCCCGTGGACTGGTTGAAGATGAGTGTGGCACTGCACTTTTCTCAGGGTCGAGCAAAGGAGACGTGGCGTGATTGTTCGGGGGAAGAAGTTCAACAAACTTTAGCCACGGATTTTTTTATTCCCCCAATTAGATCTACCTGTGTTGTTTTGCACCCTAGTTCCATATACCGCACATGCATAATAGCAACACGGTCATATTTAAGTGCACATGGTGTTTTTCTTCAATCAAAAAGTGGTTGGGGAGGGGGCTTTGTTCATTATTTTGCTCTGTATCCCAAACACGGAAAAATGACAGGCGACACTGATCACATGCTAAGTCAAGACAAAACTTAATCTCTTGAAAAGAACAATTTTCTTTCCTTTCTTCTTGAAAGAGGACCATTAAGGTCATATTAAAAAAGTTACTGTGGAAGATTCGTTTTTTCACAGAGTAAGAGAGAAAGACATTTCCTGCACAGTTTTCTCTGAGAAATCTAACAAATGGAATTGGGCATTAGGTGTAGCGTATCACATCAGAAATGAAAGAACCAAGAAAAACACTTGGCACAATCAATAACAGCAGGCTCTTACCGATGGAAAAGGCGTACATGCCAGTGAGGGAGTTGATCAATAGGAGACAGAAGGTGGCCGCGGCCATGATGGTGGAGCAGACGGGGTAGACGTACACACTCTTCACTGGCAGGTGGTCCCCAAAGAAAGCTGAGCCCAACCGGCCCCCTAGATCAGCTGTGCCCACTATGGTTAAGACGAAGCTCCCTTCCTCCTCCGTTATGCCTATCGTGGTCATGAATTTAATCTGAAATAGACAAGGGGGAGAATTATGTAGAGACTTGCTCTCAGCGGACCGGCAGACCTAATGAAAAACAAGGCACTTACTTACTAAACCGACTATCCAACAAGATAGTACCAAAGTAATTAGCATAACTTTTGGGACAAACTTTTAACTGCAAACATCATTTTGACATTGCATTTTCTGTGAGTTTGTGTTTCAGGTTTATCGATGTCGGTATATACCACTCTTTCCTCCTTGGGTCGGTTCTGCAGGTCAATTCAACATAATATTTAATTCGTACCTCCTTATTATAATACGTAATGAAGGGATTGGGAACCCCTGATCGATCATGCTTAATGGGACCCATGCTTAATGGGACTTTCTAAGAGTTGTGTATTTTGTACTTTAAAATGTATGCAATTTTGTGTATTTCTCCGTGAGCACGAAGAAATAGTTTTCCCAGTGTATTCGGGTCGATTTTACATCCGGGCTCTTCAAGGAAAAAGACTTCTCTCTTGATTGGTGATTTACCATGTTCACAAACGGGAAGATGAGCGAGATGTTCATGACAATGTTAGCAGTGAACCATAAGACGAATCCGGGAGCCTTGAAGGCCCTCGCAAAGCTTCTGAGGTTTTGCTTCAACGTGTGTTTCTGGTCCTGGCCGATGGGCTGGTACTCCGACCCCTGGCCGCTGCAGCTTTCCCCGGAGTTGCCACTCTTCTCTTCGCCGTCCCCGTCTGCTACCGCTTTGCTGCTCGCCTCCCCCGCGCAGGCATTGGACTCCTTCCTCATCAGTTTCTGCAGCTGGCGCTCTCGCTCCATTTTGGCGATCATGTCCGAGTACTTTTGGGGAGGCGGCCGGAAGGTTAAGGCGCTGATCATGCCGATGACGAAGAGGGCGCCGCTGCAGATTCGGAAGGTATTCCGCCAGCCGACCTCGTCTGACAAGAATTCCAGGCCTGGGTTGAGAGCAAGAGAACCTGGAAAAAAAGGACGCAGTTTACGACATGTTAGCATTCACTTTCAAAGCCATGAGGGGTAGACAAAATTAACATAATATACACCACAGGCTGTATGGCCATCTTAAAAAAGCTGGGCTTCTTTGCATAAATGTACATGTATAGCCTATATGGAGGGTGTAGATTTGTGGATTGGGCCTCAACGAGTAGTAAATGGTATCCCTTGCTGCTTGATCAGAAAAACATTAAGTAAAGCATGAAAGACAAAATTTATTTTAAGCAACTCCAGAACCATATATACATGAGGGCTAGGAAGCCCCTTCCACCCATGCACACGCCAACAAACATCCCAAAACGTGGACACATGTACATTGCACATGTACGTGTATAGATCGGCTTTACGCGTGTTGGAGTACCAAATGTACTGTATAAAAGAAGTTCTCAAGTTGGTCAGAGCAAACAGCCTCTTTTACACCACAAGGAAGCATCTCTCTAAATTCTAAAAAGAAAAGAATTTCCTCAACTAATTAATAGGCCTATTTCCTCGGACGACATCTCTCTAAATTGAAACTGACTTGCCTGAAGTCTTGGGCAACTACTTTATAAAATTATAGAGAAGTTGGTGAATGAGGTAATTGCGTTGCAACTGTCCGTTCAAATTCGGACTAAAATCTTGACCTAACTTTGGTATCAAGTTTATCTACAGTGCAAATGGCCGGTTTTCCCTGTTCTTATAAAATAAGCACGGCAAACGCAGGGTGTGAAAAACAACCACTAGATGGTTAGACGAGATAGCAACCTGCTTCGCGGTATTCATAGCACGACAGACCACAGGAAATAGTCTAATAAGTGGGATTAGTGTACTTTGGCAAAAGTTGGAATTCGATAACACGCAACATCATGCCTGGCGTCGCAGAGGGGTCAGTGCTACTTCTGAGACGAGGGTTTTCCGTGAAAAGTCTTAGTCTCCCTCCCAGCAGTTCTTCATAAATCACTGTAAACGAACGACTGACCGATCAAAGGACTTTCTACTGCGGTGTTATAAAATCAGCAATTTAAACTCAAGCGTGAGTGTATAGCTAGCAGTGAGTGAATGCAGCAATGATACCCAAGATCTGATCAGGTCTTGGATTGGGAGGAATGGAATTTCTTTCCAAAACAACTATCAGTTTTCGCATCCGTACAAGAATCCTCACCCCCCCACACACACACACACACACGATCAGGTGGAAGCACCGTTTTTAATTAGCTGGTAATTTGAAATTCATTTAAAAAAAATGAACTAAAAACGTTAAAAACAAACGCTAGAACAGCCTTTAGCGGGGTTCAGATAAGCGATGAGAAAGCATGTTTTCTATTTCAATATATGTTATTTAATACTGAAATAGAAAACAATTATTGGTTCAAAAAGGATTTTAAAAAGTTGAAAGTGAAGTATATAGGTATTAAAAATACCTCGAGTCGGAATTCTCTTGCTTAAATTGCGCAAATGGTTTGCTGCGCTGTACTGTGTTCTGTTGCCCATTCAAATTCTAATCATCATTAGCTGTGTAATGCTGCTCAGTACTGTTTTAACCAAAGGACAGGAAGACAGGCAAATCTTACCGACACTCCAGCCGAGCGTTGCAAAACATGTCGACCTCGCGCTGTTCTTCCGCGGGAAGTAGGCCCCTACTAGGTTGAGGGAGGTGTTGTCAATGAAGTTGCTGCCCACGCCGAACAGCAAGCTGTATGTCAGGAAGAGGAGGTGGGGATCAGGCATAAAGCTGGAGAGGAGCAGGCCCCCGCTGCACAGAAGCACCCCAATGATGGTGACGACACGGTGGCCGAAGCGCTTGAAGAGACAGGTGGAGAACGGAGAAGCAGCGAACATGATACCGAATGCCAAGGAGCCGATCCATCCTGCCGTTGAAAAGAGGAAAAATCTTTTTAGAAACTTTCAAAATAGTCTGTGCTCTTCCTGACAACTGATAGCACCGTTACTGTGACGTCATTTAGGAAAGGAAAGCTCGAGTTTTTAGGTTTTCTGTTCAAAATGTAAGCGCTTTAAGTGCTTTAATACTCAACAAAGATTCACCAAGGAAAATGATAATTAGGACAGCTAGCTAAAGAATTCCAGCAACTTGTGATTTATATTATGAAACAAACTTTATAGGAAAATGACTAGACGCTCAAAAATGATTATAAAACGAACAAAGAAATTGCCTAGAGCAGGATTTGAACCTGCGACCTCTGGAACATCGTATCAGTGCTCCACCAACTGAGCTATCCTGAGCTATGGGAATTAGAACCACCAACATAGGGCTGGATAGCTCCGTTGGTAAAGCACCAATAGGGTGTTCCAGAGGTCGCAGGTTCACATCCCGCTCCAGCCAATTCCTTTGTTCATCTTTAGAACTTTTGATTGAATCCAACTTTATTATTGTTGTTTTGTGTGTGCATAAATCAATTAACACTGACGCTTCCTCTTCGGAATGGCGTCACACTAAGCTAATGAAGATGAAATACTTTAGCATACTATAGAAACTTAAATGGCACCAAAAATACCTCTTTTAAACAGCAAAATAAAAACTGACGATGAGGCTGAACTGAAGCACACAGGTGCCTTTACAAGGGTTGCAGTAAAAAATTTGTGATGCATGGACCATTAAGCATCCAAAATAACACATAATTATGTATCACAAACACAAGGCTGAAATGTGTACAATTATCGCAATTCATCAAAATCAAACCTGTGGAAAATTACAAGTTCCAAATACCTAAATGAGGTAAGCACGAACAGGATCGATTTCTACAAATATTGATTTGAGCTTGAAACAACGTGCTTTGCTGGATCTCGTTTCATTACAGGGAAAACAGCTTAAGACAAGCATGTGCGCCCACTTCAACACCATTGTATACACGGAAATATTCCAGAAAGAAACAAAAGGCGGAGGAAAAACAGTAGAAAAGACAAATTGAAGGGGGAGTGGCATGAAAGCACAGGTCTGGGTTAGTGGGGGGCTCTGTCACCATTACATCTTTTATTGACCATTTTGTATGTTATCAGTTTTATTGTCCAATTGTCATTTTATTGTCACACAAAACTCTATTGTTGCCGAGTCACTGTGTCTGCTTTTTGAAATGGGATAATGTAAACTATTAATTGGCCTTTTGACTGAAAAAACCCCTGCTTTGTGACCGAACATGAATCTTCTTGCCTCCACTAACGATCTATATTAATTGTTGGACAAAACGTTTTCGGTCGTGGTCCCCTCTCAAATGTTCACGAGAGATATGAAGGCCTGGCTGGTTTATTCTTTATACACGTAGTGCAGTGTTTTTGGTGTCACATGGAGCCAACCGGTTATTCATCCACAGCGTCTTTGAATTACGTTAGTCTTTCAATACCACAGTATGCCGAGCTGAAGCCAAATGTTGAGGAAAATTTAATTTTAAAAATGATACATACTGGGGTATCATCAACAAACGGTGAAGGGGTTTCCCCAAACATTAGTTCAGGAAAGTATTCTTAACGAATGCAAATCAGCTATCCAAAATGCAAGTCGAACAACAGGGAATGGTTTACTATATACATCTAGTCCTATGCTCCGGGTGAATAAATGTATATGCATGCACTCATTGTTGTGGTGGTGCTTAAGGAATATGTCTCTCCTCCCCTGAATAACTTGGCTCCCCTAAAAGAAGGGCATAAACGAAGATAGTATCGTTTGTGGGGCGGGGGGGGGGCAGTTTCCCATGTACACGTAGCCCCCACCGTTCACCCGTTACACATTGCGGGAGGATTTACTGAACTATTCACGTGCAGCAAAGTGCATTTAAGCAACACTTGAATAAACAGGATTATTGGACTGCCCATCACAACTAACATAAGGTTTCTATAAAGGCAGATCAAGGTTCAATGCGGCAGTCATTCGTTCAAGGCTGGGGTCAGAAAGATGACAGAGGTTGTTCATTCCCTTCGCGACAAGATATATCCGGAATCTCGGACCACCTGCGGCACATGACAATTTCATATCCTACAGCAGTGGGCAACACAGATCAGAAGCCAAGAGTGAAGCCAAATAAGTTTCCTTGACAACCTGACTTTCCCCCGTACCTCTCCCCTATACACGTCTAACAATGGCGCATTTATACATGTTTTTCGTTTGGCTTCGCTTGAATACTTCAGATATTCTGGCTCCAGTCGAGAGGGTAATTATAGATCGCGGATTGTTTAAACCGTTCAAACCAGCCTGCTTTCGCAACAACTGGAAAGCTGATGCAATCACACTTTCTCCTCAGCTGTGATGCGGGCCCACGACATTGAATATCGACCGTACATCCCAGTCAGTGTACACATGCATGTACTGTACAAAACTGAAAACTGTCACGCTTCACCTGGTGTCCATTGTGTTGACACGATGCACTAACAAGGCCTCACCATCAATGTCTCCGCCATCAAAGCTCACTTACCTCTCAGTAATTTTCTTACAAGCTGAGTTACGACATATTGCAGACCTTGCAGATCGTATGTACTTTACAATCAAATTCACAGTCACAATAGTCATTTCTGGACCCCCCCCAAAAGTGCAGATTGGGGTATAGAACTTGGAAGTGGTAATTTGAAATTCATGATTCTGTGTTTTTTGTTTCTTTTGGTTTTTGACAAGTCAAGAGACGAATAGAGATGATTCCAGTAACAACAAGTCTGCGAATTTATGGGCTTTTTTATGCAATGACACTTTCCCTTGGTTGTTTACGAATAAAACACAGAAATACGTCATTATGTCCACTGTTTCCTTTGCACACAAAACTTGATATATTATTCAGTGATAAAAGAAGTTTGCACTTTTCGTTAGGTCGATCACTGAATTAATCCTTACTCTCACATTGTCACTTGTTCTTCAGTTACACGTCACCCTCGCAAAACCATATGCCTACCGGTGCCGCCATTTGCATTATTGGTTTTTTTTAGATGCTGAAGGCACAAACTGTGTTGCTTCATTGGGTTTATTAAAGGAAGTACCACATGTACAATCATGTTAACTTTCGAACCCAAATTTAACCATTACATCATTATTGTGATTGCTTTATACACTATTTTTTTTTTAGTTTTACATAAGTATGCCGTGTAAGCTGTAGAAAATATAGAGGAAGCAATAGAAATGGTATAACTCGCTGTGACAGAGTCGGCCACGTTACACCATGGTTACACAAAGCCATCAGTGATCTTCAGTAGTCAGTCTAGCGGCATCATTGCATCAATGATAGATCCTGAAACAATTTTTCAGGGAGGCCAATTTGGAGGGGATAGGCTAAACAAAATGGACATCTTTTCCTGTAGCCTTTCGGGGAATGAGGCTGTATTTTCGGGCTTTCCACATGCTTTTTGAAGGGAGGGGGATAAAATAAGACTCAAAAGTGTCTTTTCTGTCATTATTTTCTTTCAAAAAAAAAACGGACGGACGACCTGGAACAGTTTACTGGCCCCAAAACACGTCAAGGCCACGTTCACTATAAGCATATAACATAAATAGATTATATAGATTCATCTATCAAGACATGCTCAATTCTATAGGCATACAATGCTGGCGAGCACAGTTAACAGTGCAATTCCATGTATCACCGTTCTAAATGCAAAAATTGCACATGTGCGATCATACTATTATTAATATTCAATTTCACGCTCAACAGCCTTTGTTCGGCAGAACAATCACTGGCCAAAGACAGATGTGTAGAAATTTCAAATTTAATGTGGGCCAGCTATGCTCAAATAATTGAATTGACTTTGGAAATTGCAACGTTGAAATTTAATATCACTGGAACATGTTTTGGCCTAATTTTTCAGCCAAACGGCAGACAAGGACACTTTTTAATGGTAATGTTTGAGAAGGTTGGAGTAAATGGAATTATAGGGCTTACCTTCACGTGCTTGGTGGGTGGTTGAAAAATCTATGACACAGTTTGTGCAAAAATATTTCATGTAATTGAACTATTTGGGTGTACAGTACATTAGGCTATTCATTCCTAAACATATTATATCATGTCCTGCAACAGTAAAGCTTATTTAGCAGTAAAGCTGAATGCTTGTTGGCACCAAGACATACAATCTCAAAAAGAGAGTTTATTTAGCCTCGAGCTGGACCAAGAGAGGGCGCAATTTTCTAAGCAACGGAGGCTCCTTTGGTCCGAACTGTACTTCGCTGGTTCACAGACGACTATGAAACACACATTACGGTCGCATCGCTACCAGCAAAATGAACACTCTCAACCAGCGAAACTCTTTTCAACCTTGAGGAGAAGCATTCGCAGCTTTTGTTTCTGAAATGCTAATGCACACCACATCTCTCATAGGCAGTGTTCAACCAAGTCAAATTGCACAAATGTTAAAAATATAAAAGTTCCACTTTTTTGCTAAATTAATAATGTTTATGGCCATACCTCTGAACAAACAAAATATGAGGCTATAAACAGAACACAACCATACAGTCAACTGTATTAAGATCACATGCTGGACGATATCTTACCCACTTTCAGAAAAACCAAAGGAATAGAATACAGTGGCATTATGAACCACGAAAACACAATTTCAAAAAGTAACAGAGCATTAATTATTGGGACAAAAATGGTTACAAAGAATAGTTATCGGTGTTGTGGCCGTGTTCATTCCCATCGTAATTTGGAAAAAAAGTGCAGCTGTTCAGACTTTCGCATGCATATCCAGTTTAAATTTAGAGTGTAGGCCCTACACTGTAAGCTGATGAAGGAATGCCGGAACCCGTCTAGACTTCTGTCATGTTGTTGATAAGGTCTGGTTCTCTGGTTTGAGCTGAAGTCATACACCACCATATCTAACCACCCATCATTAGCTTTTCCAAAGTTATCGTTAAAACTTAAAAAGAAAATGACCCAATTTTCCTCTCTTATAACGCTTACACAAGAGAATATACATGTGCATAACATGGATTTGTGGACACTTTTTTCTTTTCTATACAATTTTGAAACCAGACACAAGGTTTTTTGACTTGGATCTTTAGAATTCCCACGTAATGGTGCGGGTACTAGGCTCCAGGCATAATGTTTTGCCATGTGCATGTGCACACTGCGCCGCAAATGGATTGCATCATTTTGTTTCCAGGCGGGTAGGTCTATTGGTATTACACCGTTGACATGCAGGTTTAGATGTGCGTCAGTTGGTCTCTTAAAAGGAGCATCGGACCAAAACCGACGAATTGACTCTGAGTTCGGTAATTCCATGTGCTGTTTTTTTTTTCGAATGCATGTAACAGCATTCTTTTCCTGTGAACAATCCTGCGCGCAGTTGGCGCATGATCCCGTGCATTGCATCACACGGGTGCAACTCACACGCCTCGTACCATGTCTTTCGCAATGACTGCCGGCTGCCGTATGAGGGGCACCCGCCTAACACAATTATAATCATCCTGATCATCCTCTGTAAAATGTCCACATTTTTACACCTGAATGGAAAATTCAATATGGGAAAACAACAGCTTGGCATGTCTTTCCGTTAGCCAGCATCTGTGTTGTTTGTCAAGATAAACCCGACTCTAGGTCCACGATCCATCTGCATTATACAATTGAATCTAGTCAGACCTGAGCAGTCATTTATTAATGATAAACCCGTATATATCTGATAACAACAAACAAGATGAATGCACAATAATGTGCAGAACACAGTTGGGTCATAATTAAAGAAAGTTTGGGTCCCTGTCAGTGTTATACGGCCCAGGAATTCTGAAATCCAATTATTCATCGGTGCATGAAAGTGAATCCACTAGGGGTCCGACCAGGCTTGGTTTTTTTTTTAATCGTAGGTATTCTTATTCACACGCTGCCGTCACAAAGCAAATTTTCTTCATCGCTAACTGCAGCATTTATAACAGTACTCCCGTCAAATCAAGTTCATAACAATGGAGGAGAGCATGGTTTCCTTCACGGCGTTGATGAACACTCCGGACTCACACTTAGCGCCACCTAATAAAAGTTGTGCTTCCTGCAGTAGAAAATTATGCTGGTCCCTATTTTATTTTAGTTGAGCGTGTACGGAGATTTGTGTTGTTACATTATTCTCTGCTATACTCCTAATTAAAAGCCGTCTTTCATCAATTACATATTTGCGGGACACAAAAGCGATAAGAAACCATTCAACAAAAGAAGAAAGAAGAAAGTTGTACGCACCAACAGCCAGGTCGCTGATTTGAAATTCCTTCTGCAGTTTGACGAAGATCACGCCAAATGCGCTGAGGATGCCCGTGACGGGGAGAATGATCAAGAAGGTGCAGAAAGTGACCAGCCAGCCCCACCTGTTCTTCACCTGCAGCTTTTCCGAGTTGATAGCCTCCGCGACGCTATTGCGAACCCGCCTAGGGTACTTGCTCGCCATTGCCTCCACGATGCTGTGTCTGATCCGGGATGGATATTCGGACTGTAAGGCATCCACCAAACTCGCCCTCACCCTCCGCGGAAACCGGATCGCAGACATGGTGCTGCAATTGCAATGTGCACGCACGTACACAACACTTGTTCAAAATACGCAGAGCGACAGAAATTCACGCCTCAAAAATCGACGAAATCGCCTGAAAGTTCGGTGTGATATTACTCCCTAGTTTTCACTGAATGATCATATTTGTGACAACTTTGCGGCGAGGCATATGGCTGTTTGCGGTGCCTTTGACACAAAGACTGCCCGCTTGTTCGTAGTCGCCAGCATTCAAACCACAATCAGCTGTTCACTTGGTAGTTGCGACAGACTCTTCAAACGATTGCAACACACCCAGGGTTTCCCTGTCATTCCGCGTGACCTGTCATTGTCCTGGTCCGCGTAGTCACATGCTAGAGCACGGGCATTAGCTCCGGTCACCAACGTGTAAAGAGTAAATATTCACGCAGTAATATGATAATGTTATCGTGTAATATGCAGACGTCATCGTTAAACTACGGTAAATAGCCAATCAGCTACGCGGTTGGTCCTGTTGTTGGGGACTGACCGACCCTCGATCTGTTTACGCATTCATCATTGTTAGTTTGGCACAATGCAAGGGGGACGTGGGAAATCCTTCGTCATGTGACTGGGTTCTTCCATGGATAATTGGCAAGTGCGTGCACTTCGAGGGCGGTAGCTGGGTAGTAAACAACTTTTAGGCGACTGATTGAACAATCATTCAAGTGTGTTGTAGGACATAAAAATACAATGAAGGTCAGTTGGACCGTACTGTGGCAGAAAGGTCAATATAATCTCCATGAGATAATTAAGGACTTGGCTATTGTATTCATGACCCATCTCATGAGTCCGAATGATAATTGTTAGTGAGGGAATGAAGCTAGCTGTAGCTACAAGTGTAAGTGGAACGAGTGCTGTGTCGGCCGACGGCTGAACTTACACAGCCTGGGCGTCGCCAGGATTTTTCCAAACCACTTTTTTTTTCTAGGGAATGTCTAAGTGGCAAAGCCCTCATGAGCTAAAATGAATAAATAATTAGCATCGGGAGGGGGTCTTTTTGTATGGTGTCTATCACCGCGCATCTTGCAGCAACATGCGCTTTGTGTGTGAGCAGTGGCTCGGCATTCGCGAAGCGAACCATTGAGATGTAGTCCTGTTACCAAGCTATAAACTGACAAAGAAAATATGAAGTCTTCAGAAATATGTGTCTGCATGCCCTGCTAATTTGGAAAAGTTGGGAGAATAAGAAAACAAATTAAAAAGATGAAGCATCCTCCGGGCCGGATTCGAACCAGCGACCTATGGATGTCAATTACAACCGTCTACAGTCCACCGCTCTACCAACTGAGCTACCGGAGGTACTTACGTTTCGGAGGAAATCTATTTTATTTATACTATGTATACAAGAAATATTTTCAAATTCTCTAATTTTTTTTTCAAACTACGTTGTTTGCATACATTCATTAAATTCCTTGTATATTTTTTGAAAATGGAAGAAATCAACAAATTCAAAACAGTAGGATAAACACCAAGCATGTAGCAAGTCCTCCATTGATTTACCCATGATGCATTTGAATTCCCGCTCTCTTGAAACATGGCGGAAAATGTCACGAAATTACAGAATTATATTAGGCCTACGCGTATGTTGTAGTGGGGCTAGGATGAGTTCTGATTGATGATATCGGAATCGTTGTTTAGTTGGTTATTTTGACCAGCAATGAATGAAGCGCATGTGAACAAAATTCCTGAGAACAATACAATGGATATAGTTTCCATGGCGTTTTCAAATGTCTCTGAAAGGAGTGATTTAATTGAGGTTAGCTCTAGCGTTTCTCCGACCACTGAAGATGCTGAAGCCGGTAACAATGCCTCCGCCGCAGAGAGTGTACGTTGTGAGGACGGAAATCAGATTGTGGATGTGCATCAAAGCGATCAGGTCAAGAATCGTCCGAGTCCTATAGAAATCCCACTTCCACCCAATGCCATTATCAGCGTCAACGACCAAGGAGAACAGACGATTGAGTTGGCCCAAGTTGCTGGCGATGATCATCAAGCTCCGGACATGCCCGACCAAACCTGTTCAATAGAGCACGTGGAACAGATCGAGCAAGTGGAAACTGTCGTACACCCAGATGAGCATCAGCCGGGTCCTGCCGGGGATGTAGTCCCCATGTCTGTCGGGGGAGATGGGCTTGAAGCAATAGCATTCCAAGGAACGGATGTTGGCATGATTGGAGATGAGACGTGTGTTGTTCCTGTCACCATCTCTCTCACGGATGTTCAAAATCTTCAGCAGGTTGTCGGTGGAGTGCACATTGGCCCCAGTGGGGAATCAGTCCAGGTTTCTTCGACAAATGTTGCGGTTACCTCAAGCACGCCAGGGTTGTCTGAAAGTGCCAGCTCCTTGTTTAGTTCGTTGGCCAGTATCATAGACACCAGCTCAGTTTTAACAACTGCTAACATGTCAAGTGCTTCTCTGCCGGCATCTGGCGTAACATTTGTGAGTGGTGCTGGGATACCGCTTCCCACTGTTCAAAGCCTAAGTCGTTCTGCAGAGGCACAGCCTCCAGGACTTTGCGCATCCGGTGCAGGTATTACAAGCGCTCACAGCGAAAGTAGCACTAGCAACGGTAGTGGTGCTCGAGCTAGTAGTGCAGCCCAGTTTATCCATAATGGGACAACGCTGCAGAAGGTCAACTTTAGCGATGGCAGTTTCTTAACGCAGAAAAGTCAGCTGATGAATGCAAAACAGACTACAGGCGTTGGTGCACAAAGTACCGACCAAGTGGGTAGCTTGCCACCTGTTCAAAAGCAAGATAGTGCCAACATCATTGGGAACCGCAGTGTCTTTTCTCCAATGACCCTGACTATTCGGACACCTCCAGGGGCCCCTGCTGTCAATCAGGCACTGATCAATAGCATAGTGAATAATGCGGAAGTGCAGGCCCTGCTGAAGCGGAATCCTGGGCAGCCAATAACAATTGTGCGCGTTCCGGAGGACCCTTCAGAGAAGCGGCAACACCTACCCGGCATGGTCACTGCCAAGGTCCTGACCAACAGAAGTCCTGGCGGCGGTGGTGTGCCACACAGGCAAATAGGACGGCCAAGGAAAGAACCAGGCACCGATGAGGATGCCAAGGGTTTCCCTGTGAGGAGGCGGGGAAGGCAGCCGGGAACAAAGATACGGAGGAAAGAAGAAGACTATGTTCCCCCTGTGTCATGGCAACCAGTGAAATCCCGCACCCGGTCTGGGCGGTTATCCCGGCCACCGGGCTATCGCACAGAAAACTTCAAGATGCTGTATCCCCTGGAAAGGCCTGACAATCCATCCTCGGATGCCGAGGGTGGGTCCGATATGGAAGCCGACTCTGGCAGCAGTGTGGCCTTCACTCCTAGCGGCCGTGTCAAGAATTTCAAGTGTCGGAGCTGCAGTAAGGCATACATTGGCCGAGGTGGCCTGGCACGGCACTTCCTAGTCGAACCAACTCATGGCAATATTGACGACTATGCACTCTCAGAGGGTTCAGGGGCCAAACTTGACGGCTCTACAGCTGGCGATGTGCAAAATACTTCCAATGAACTTGCAGACAGGTCATTTTGGTTTCACCCAGTTTGGAAGTGTGCAGAATACACAGTCTGACAGTAGTCTTTTTTTATTTGCAGACTGGAAAATAAGTGTTCTCACTAAATGGGAGACCTTTAAACTGGATGACTTGTTTCTGAGCTGTACTTTTTTGTCTTAATTGCAGTTGGGCTTGTATGCTATGAGAGATCAAAGAATCCTGCCAGCAGAATTCTTTGGACTTTTACCTGGAAATTTCAATCAAGCATTTTGTCAGATCCAATCTGCTTTTGGTCCAACAAATACTTCAGGGCCCAATTTCATGGCGTTGCTTAGCACACAATTTCACACTTACAGAGGCTCTTAGGGGCGTAACTATAGAAATTGCTATGCGCACGCAGCCGTTAGCACAACCACGCCAAGCACCGCCATGAAATAGTGCTTAAGGGTAGCAAATTTTTCTGCTAAAGTTAGCATGGCTTTTCTGCTGTTTACACAGCTTTGTGAAATTGGGCCCCGGATAGTCATAAAATGCCCAGTGTCCAATCAAACTTGACACTTTGTCCTGGGCTTATGTTTTGAAATGATCAGTAGCACTGCTACTTAGGGCTCATTTTCACACTTGTAACCAAACCCTAACCCTCAAACATTTGAAAAATTAAAATTGGAGGACCTAGGAATATTATTAGGGTAAATTTTTTTCATTTCTCATAGAGGTAACAATTGACAATTAGCTTTTCTTCTGAATTCCACAGTGAAATAAACAACAAGGATGTTGCAGAAGAGAGTGCTGAGTCTCCCCAAAGCCTTGCCAAAGATGAGGGCGAACATTCCCGCTTATTGAAAGAGGATGTCATGGACCTAGACGAAGAGCCGGTCACAGACAAAGCCACCGGAGAACCAGCTGAGGAGCCTCCCCCAGAACAACCCTCGCGTGGGAGGAGAGGCCGGCCACCAAACGCCAACAAGGACGATCCTGATTTCAGACCGGGGACGTCTGCGAACAAGGGCAGCGTGAAGTCCAAAGACAAACGCAAGGAGACCATGAGACAGGTTGATACAACACAAAAAACCTCTTGAACCCTCCACATGGTATTAGCATTGGTGCTGTATTTTTGGTCGCCGAACCTCATGCATATGCATGATCAAGAACTGAATTCTCACAGATGGTCTTACCACCAAGTTCACCATGGCATGCCTGCTACTCTTTATGCTGATTCCCATGCATGCACATGAGGATCCAGACAGGTCAAATACACATGCTTGTCATGCTGGTTCATGGTATATTCAAGTGACAGTCTATCATTGCACAGAGTTAGTACACATGCATTAACATGCATTTTTACTGATCAAGTTTGAGTTGAAATCCTTCCACAAATATTTGTGTATTTCTTGCATACACGTTTTATTGGTGTGCCCAAACGCTTGTGTCCTTTCTCATTTAAGCAATTCCGTACTTCAGACTGATTGCCACTTCCTCAGCTTACGTTTTGCTTTACCAGAATATTTTGAAAAAGTACCCTTTGCAATGCCGAGTTTCATGATTGGTCAATGTTTTCCAGGCTCTGAAGTTCCTGAACCAGGAAGACTACATGGACGTCTGCCTGCCGCGCATGGCACGCCATCTCTCCCCATGGGACTTCCTGGTCAGCAAGGCAGAGATTCTCAAGGAAGATACACCCCAGGTGTTGAAGGTGCTACAGCTGTTTGAGGAGCTTCTGTCTGACGTCAGAGAGATGGCTGTGAATTGCCTGGAGAAGGTCAATATTGTGGGGGGATGGGGTTTTTGAAATCTCCGTTTTTACTCCATCTTAGGATTTGGACCTCATTTTATTTGAGCTCTGCGCTTGCCAGACACAGCAAAGTGTGGCAGGCGTAAAAGTCTTGTGCACTTTGTTACACTTGGCAGCCAACAGCTAATGATGAAACTGCCTGTGTTGAAGCAATGGGAGCTGCTGGTTCCCTTCAACAGTGCCACCGTTGGATTTTGTGGTGGCTAGCAATCCTGGCCTTGGAGAGAGTTGACCTGTTGGTTTGGTTGCACTGGGCAGGCCAGCCACTTTGACAAATGGTGCACACAGATGCATCTGGCAGGATGTCCAGCCAAAATACTGTGGGAGGTTGTGTTAATGAACCTTTAATTGCCCCTCGGAACCTCAAGCTGAATGCTGCTTTGTTTCTGGCAGCAGAACCATTCGGTTGTTTGACACTGGGCCACATTTTGTCAGATTATCCTTTGGTTCTAACAGTGAACATGTGAAATTTACTGTAGAGTAAGGGATGAAAGGACGGAAGCAAAGCCGAGATTTGGAGAACAAACCAGAACTTGGTTTTGTATGATTTTTGGTGGTTGTCAAAATTGCCACTACTTCATCACATGGGGTTTGTGTCCCGGTTACAAAGAACAGTTCAGTCACACTAAACAGTGTGAGTTGTTGGTATAGGGAAATCCAGGTTTTATTGGCTAGATGGATTGTTTCAAAGTTCCTGAAATTTCTCTCAATCATTGGAAGCGTTACATAACTCGGACTGCCCTTTCTCCATTTGTCCATGAAGTGTGTTACATTAGGTGTATTTGGGATGTTCACTGTATTCTCCATAAATTGTTCAGCTGTTGAACTAGTCAGCAAATTTGCACTTAGTCTAAATTGCACGATCATGATTGCGATGCAGGTGGAGGATGAGGATGAGGAGATGGGAGGATTGTACCTGGATGAGGATGATGACTTGGCCAGGGTCTTGGAGTTTGACAAGGGTTGGTACAAGGTCAGTGCGCCCCCTGCTGGAGCTGCAGAACTCCCCTTCAGGTGAGAATTAATGAAATTAAACTCTCAAAACAATTCGGGTACTTGGAGGACCTGAGCAGTTATCCCGTTTCTCACACTCAACGAGAGTGGCAGGCAAAGACTGTATAGTGCTGCACAGTGGCGCAAGATCGGAAATGCTGCAAAAAAAAGGTGAAATCACCATGGGTGCCATTCAAGCAAGCAAGTCGTTCACGTCATTCACAAATTGTACATAGAGACCCGCACAACGGTTGCAGCATATCATCTCACTGCTCGACGATTAACCATATTAACTGTCAAAATCAGCAATGCCCACACCCACCGGTTTGCTATGATGTGAGAAAGGTAATTTACACTCTTTGTCAATTCGTAGTACTTTTTTAACCTGGAAGCAGGCAAAAACCCAAGGTATTTTTAGGCAGCGTGAATGAAAACGGTTAAGGGCAAATTATATATGTATTCATACTTGTGTGTGTAGGCCAAAGACACAAGTATTAATTTTGTTTCTGTGGCGTTGAGAGAATATTATTACAGAAGCTCAGTGTCTCTGTGTAAGTAAAGTTAAAATGGAAGCTTTTGTACTAGGCCTAACAACAAAGATGGGTAATGACCAACAGTTGCAACTTTTAGGAACATTTTGACTTATTTTGTAACAGCACTCGAAGGGTCTCACAGAATTACAATAATAAGAAAAAGTAGATTGCTTTGCAATCTAAATTGACTAAATTTCTGTGGCCCACTTTTTCTCTTTTTATCGTACTGGTTAGTGTTTCAAGCCTGCTGAAGAGAACCGCTGAGGCGATCAGTAAAGATGATTTCACCGATGAGGATGCCACACCCGTCAAGTTGAGAAAAGTGGAGCCCGAAGAGCCGGTTCGTACCAGACTTGGTTTTTGGTAGAGGCATCATGCTAAATCCATCATGTTAAAGTGCGTGGTACACGTGTGGCAAGATTTTAGTCAGGGAAACATTAGTGCTGGCTATTCACACGATGGATGGCTGAGCTGGCTGAGTACCAGCTGCGAAGATGCACAGTGTGCATGCACCTGCCAACCAAATACCTGCATGCGTACATATGTACACTCATGTGGGTGCTTACAAGTGTGTGTATCTGTAACCAGGCATGCAACTTTTCCTCGAATGAACTGATTTCCGCATTTTTCACTTCACACTCGTACCATTGAAAATTGAAAAAACTTTGTAAAAAGTCTTTGCCTGTTTAGCTTTGGTCATGTTTGAATGACTCTGTCGCAGTTTGAAATGACCCACATTTGTATGGGAAGTGGCTGCAAACATTGCCATAAACTTGTGCATATTTTCAAGCCACAGCAAAGTAATCCAGAAACAGGGTTTGACCCAAAAAAAGTGGTCTTTTCTAAGCCATTTTTCTCTGTCAAAACTTCAAAATGCAACAAAAATTGTGCTGGCCAGCTGTGCTTTGAAAAGCTGGCTAGTGCCAGTCAGGTTAGCAATGCCTATTGGGGATGTTTGGTTATGGATGTTTTTTTCCCAAATGTTACTAAACGTGTAGTCAGAAGAGCTTACTCTGCGGGGGACGATGAGTTTCCCATTTGAGAAGTTTCATTGCACCAGCCAGAAGAAACAAATATGTATTCTTTGGCTATATGGCTTCTTATGGCAGGATTTCAGCTTTTGGTCTATTGCTTGTGATGTAGTAAAGGGCACTCCATTCCCATGGAAACATTTATCTTAAAAGTAGTGTGACTTGAACTTCGAATTGGAGGGAAAAGGTATTCCTTAAAGGCAAAACTCTCAATTTTTACTTCACTTTTCTGAAAGCTCCAAGATCAGAAGTCAGCCATGAGATCCTTTAACCCTAACCTTCCCCAACCACACAGAATTAAACAGTAGTAAAGTGTTTAATTCTGTGGGGATAAGTCCGGTATGCCCGTAACAGCTTGCTTTTGCATTGGGTTTGGCATACCTTNAACTTTGTGTGAATGGGAAGGTTAGGGCCAGCAACCCTTGAGGGTTAGGGTTAACTGTCATTTATAAAATTTTTTTAAATAGGAAATGATTAGAGTGTCAAAAAACATCAGTGATTACCAAAGATATATTTGGAACATGGAAGTGCTCCTTCAAAAGCTGTCACAGTCAAAAATTCCACCGGCTTCCCCCGCTACACTGTATGCGCAGGCGAGCCACCTACAGTAAGGTCATAATTGTGATTGGTACTGCAACAAGCCAAAGTCTATCAACATTCGAATTCCATCAACTGACAACAGCAGGTGACTGGTAGACACAGGTGGCTTATTAATTATCAACAGTCAAAGTACAGCTGCACCAAGTTATATCAACAGGTCCTAGCCAGTCCATTGTGTTTTTGTGTAGGCAGGGGACTCTAAATTGTTCAAAACTGACTGATTTAGACTAGGAGAAGACCTTTATCCAGACTGGATGTTTGCATAGGAGGGCCGAGAAAATAACAAACTGGGTACAAAAGCAAAACCAATGCATATCATCCCTTCCTGTACCTGGTAAGATGAACATTCATGTGTCCTTTGTTATATTAAAGCAAAATTTTCTAACCCGTCCTCTTGCCCTTCCCTTCTCTCCCTCCAACAAAAAATAACCGTTTATCCATGGAAAATGTCCTTATTAATTCTGAAAACTTCTTCCATTAACATCAATTGTAGGATATGACAAACAACACAGTTCAAAACCAAGTCAGTTCCCAGGTCAAGTCCACACCCAAGCCAGGCCCAACGAGCGATCCAAAGTCAATAACAGTTCATGTCCACAACGGAAAGGTCACCACGGAGCAAGGGTCGCCCTCCATCGCTGCGCTGAGGGCCCCCCTCCGAGAGACTGTACCCCTCTCAAGCACAGACCGGAGACTGGTAGGTGCAATTCAGATAAGCATGAGCAGGAACAGAAATAGGATGAGAAGGAGTGAAATCATTGGAGTGTCCGGTTGGATGATAATCACAATTTAATCAAAATGATGGCTTACATTTTGAGAGCAAAAACATTGCAGTGTTTTGTTTTTATGCTGTTAACCGATTTAGATGTTTTCCAGGTGTCACACATGTTGAATGGCAAACACAAAATTGTGAGCCTTTCCGTACCTATAGTATTGATAAGAGCTATCAAATTACCTGAGTTAACCCTCCCAAATCTTTTTCTGCAAAGTGGAGGAATTTGGAGGATTCGGGGTGTATGGCAAAAGTGCATGGCTGATTTCGAAGGACGCCTTTCGTGAAGGTCGTGGATTAGACCTTATGTTGTTTGGGCTCAGTCATGCACAAATTCTTTGAATCAAATTCAAATTCTTTTGAATCAACTGCACAGTTTAAGAATGCCATTCACAACGCCTCAACATAATGACAGGAATTGCTGGAGGATTTTGAAGGATTTGGGCAGTTAGGCACACTTCCAAATGACATTTTTGAGAAATTTGAGAGGATTTGGAGGATTTGGGCTGAATACAATTTTTTATGTTGAAAATCGGAGGATTTCGGAGGATTCAGGATGGTTCCCAGTAAAAGGGCCTGGGAGTTAGAGTCAAAGGAAAATTATGATACATGTTTGTTTGACTTTTGAGATTTCAAGTTTTTCTTGGTAAACGTAGTTTGGTTTGTGATGGTGCTTCTGCAAACCTTTGACATTTGCATGTTAGCACTGTAACAAAGTAAATGAATAAAAGAAAAATTAGCACATATATTGTTAAACTTGCTTGCTTTGGAATAGATGATGGCTGACTTGCATCCAAATTTTCCAAAACAGATATCCATTTTAAATTTTTGAAAATCAGATTTAAATTTTAAAAATCAGACTTACAAAATTCAAACATTAATTAAAAAAAATAAAAAATTAGCCAAATCAGTACCAGAGTGAGTGTATGAATGTTTAGTGAAAATTTTAGGACTCACACACTGTTTTCCTTGCGATCATTTTGTAGTTTATTAAAGTCCTTTTGTATTGTGTTCTGAATGATACTTGAATGCATGCTTTGTTTTGCATTGGGCAAACTTTCAAGAATGAAATATCAGGTGCACCCGACAAAAAGGCTAGCTGTTATGGTTCACTGATCTCACAATGCCCTTGGTACTTTCACTGATGTTTGTGCTGGTGTAGTTTGGTTTAACCCTTTGCCACTAGTTGGGTCAATCCAGTTGAGAGTAAAATGTGGGATGTTACAGGTACATGTAGGGTATACATGAGCTGTTAGAACCCAGACTGTAGGAGTGAGATGGATTTGCTGCATGCATGATACCCCTTCGCCGATAACAAATAGGGTGGCTTGGTTACGATTTCATCTACATGTGGGATTTGAAATAGCTGCCTTTTCCTCAGAGTCAGTGTAAAAAACTGCCTGCCCACTCTCAAGATGAGACACTAGGCTGGGGTGACAGTTGAGCACCATGAGTTGTATAGAGTTACCATATTCGTCGGTTGCACTGCGAAGTGAAATATAGTGTAGAGTACTCTATGCACAGTACATCTCTTGGTAGTACAGCTGACAAATTGCTTTTAGTTTCCCCTGTGTGAGACTTGTGTGATATAGGAGATCGTTGCGTGGTTCAAACTTTCCTCGTTTCATACACTCAGGTGCCTGCAATGGTTTGAGAAATTCATTTCTGGTCTGATGGACATGGGTAATAACAGAGTAACATCCTGAGCTCCAGTGTTTCTTAGTTAAATTATTAGGAATAATTTATTCCCATGTACTTGTAGGCCTCTGCAGAAAATACAACTGATCAGCAACAGACAGACTCTGAAAAACTGCCATCGTCCACTACTCTAGTTCCCAACCAGACTTCAAACTCTGTGATTCGAAGGGATCCACCACCTTTAGCCCTGCTGGCATTGGAACAGCAACCACTAGCCCCAGTGGTATTAGAACAGCAACCTCTCAACCCTACGGATCCCAGAAAGCAATCTGCTGTAGCAACAGAGGACAGCCCAGCCAAAGAACAAATTGCAGGAAACGGAGGACTGCCTCAGGCGCAAACTCGGTCTCCGATGGCTCTTGGTTCACCAGTGGATGCAGAAGCGTCCCCTCCACAAGACACCTCGGCAGGCAGCGCTGGAGAACAGTCTCTGGCCTGGGAGGGAGAGGGGCAGCCCACATCATCCGATGGCGGGACTCAGTTTGTACATGTCGCTGAGGAGCTGGAATCGCTGGCTTCAACTGCTGATGTCGTCAACCAGAGTGACATGAAGGTATCCAACCATGTCAAATTCTTGTCAAGTATTAGCAACACTCAAAACCGTCAACATGTGGAAAAGAAAAACTGGCCTAAATGCCATCTCAATCAAACCGAATATTTCAATATGCAATCATTGGTTGAACGTTCGAATATTATTTTCCTGGTTTATCCCTCCTACGCTGAAGTCACTCTTTGGGTCACTTGGTAAACACCTCANTTCACTGTTTCATGTGCGTAATTGTGCAGTAAACCAAATGCAGTGAAGAGGACTGCACAAAAGACCCTGTGTCAGTTTGTGCTGGCAACCTACTGTGTACACACCGAACCTGTGCATGTTTGTGTTCCATGTAGAAAATACATGCAGAGGAGTGACTGTGGGCACTTGTGCATATTTGTGTTGTAAAACCAAAGGAGGGTTAATATTGGATTAACCCTAACACTCCTCAGTCCTCCAACAGGTGAAGGATTGAGGAGTGTTAGGGTGAAATACAGAGCATCACACATGTGCGTACAGAGCAATAATTTATTTACTTCGTGTTTAGACCTGGAGGAAGATTTAAGTGGAGCTTCGGGAAGAAATTTCATTGTCGCACATTCTATATGTAACCGGAGGACAGTGACCGAAATGGAATCAAAAATTGTTCTGTTTTAAATTATTGGAGAATTTGGATCTTCTTTTGGCAGGTGGACCCCACCGACACAGTTCACCAGCAGGAGACGTCGGTGGTGGTGCCGGAGGGAAGTACCATCATGCAGATGCAGGATGGGACGTTCTTGGTCCAGAAGCCCGACGGCACGGCCATGCAGATCCACACCCCCGAGGGCATGACCATCGAGACGGTCCAGGAGCTGCTGTCAATGGAGGCCGGGCAGTGATGAGAAGGCGACACCAGATGGTCAACCCAGCCCCTGGTTTCTGGTCTCTGTTGCTTTCCAGTCCCTGTCGTTTCAAGCCCACCCAGTTTTCAGTCCTTACTTAACCACTTCCTGCTTGGGAGCCCAGTTTCGGGCACCGTGTGTTTATACGCAGAGCCGGGGTGCCCGGTTTCGGACAAAAGAGCTGGTCTTTGTAACAAAAGATTGTACTCGGAACAAAGGACCTGCAGCTGGGAATTGCCATCATTTTTCGACTTCTATTTTTTGAAGGTAACCCGGCACTGTTTTGAAACAGTATACCACTGTTTTGGGCATAGCCCGCCTTCGGATTAGCACCGCGGACAAAAATGCTCCAGGGCACCATTGATGAGTGACACAGCGCCGCTGCTCGCTAATCCAGTCGCGTATGAAAAGACGCAACTGGCATTCACCGGAACCAAGGAAATTATGCAACACCCCACAATTCTGGGCTCTCTTTTACAGGGCTGCAGGCCTCAGCTGAATACTTGGGTGTCATTGAAGGTTGCCTGACAGACAAGAGTAGCCACCAGAGAGTCGTTCGTGCGGGTGTAAACATCCAGTAAATGAACACATGAATTTTTGAAGAATATTGAACACGGAAAATCTTGAAAAGGTCCTGCCATCACATCCCGCTCAAGAGAAATCCACCCGGCAGGTAGTGGTTAAAATGATTTTCCCCTGGTGTATCATTTAGGAAATTGTCCTCAATCCTGTACTGAACTCCTCCTTCAACTTTACTCTTGCTGTCGGGTTTCTTCAGGCTTCTTGAGGCCACTAAGAAGGTTGAAGTGATTGATACATTTTGAGGAACCTTTGGTTTCATCATAAGAAAGAACCAAGTCGTGTCCAGATATGTGAGTGGATATCAGATCACGTGAATACTATTGGAGTCTGACAGTCCGTAGCTGGTGCACTGTAAGGCACTCGATGACCATGCCTTCAGCTAATGCCATTTTCACTGCATTAGACCAGCGCTGCATTAAAAATCTCCAAAACGGGAAAAGACTTCGTGAGTAAAACAAAGACAAAGGGTGTAGCAGCAATTTTTGTCACGATTTTATGATGGAATAAATCTGACCAGCATTTTTACTGTTTCACAACAAACTTTGAAGATCTAGAAGACAACTTCTTCCCATCAAGCATTGGCAGAGCACCAGTAACCTCACCAGCCTTGGAAAGCAGACGGTTTCCAGCTGGAGTGACAAAAGTCTGTACTTTGTATAACATGTATAAAATGAAAGTTGCATCACTATGTACTGTACATGTATTAAGTCATGTAGGAAAATGTGGTCAAATGACCTGACGTCAAGGTATGTATATACATGCACTTGTACTGGGGACACATTAGCCTTGATACAATCTGTGGCAAGTTCAAAGTGCTGCTATCAATGATCGTTGGTTGGAGGGCTTAGGGAACGCACTTGGTACGGTTTGAACTAGAATGGGATTATTGGCTAGATTGTTACCGGTGTGCTTTCGGTAGGGGTATTCACACTACGTCAGTGAGTGAATGCATTCAAAAAGCCTATGCTTAAAAATGAACCACGCTATTCACGTAGGTCATTCAAGAACATCCTTACATGCGAGCAAGGTTGGCCCTTATTAGTGTGTCTGTAGGACGACTCGGCGCTCCGGACATTTCGGAGTTGGTGCTTTGTTGCCAAATGACTGGCTTTTTTGCTCCTGTTGATGCATTGAGTACATCAACCACACGAGTGCAGCCCAGGAAACATGCTTTTAGTGTGTGTTAGTGTTCCAAAGTATATGAGAATGGATGCGGGGCTGGAATGTCTTAGCCAACTGTACACTTTACTAGTACATGCACGGCCAAGTCTACACAGTGAATCATGGAGTTTTCTTCAGCCTTGAATTTTCTGAATCTAGAATTCAGTGCATTTGTACAAATTTGTGGCAGTGACTTTTGTTTGCATGGATTCAGAGCTAAAGGAAATGTGCTGTGTAACTGGACATTCTGGTACATGTAATTCCATGTATGTTGCTCTAGATTATAAATGTGTCTGTGAAAATAGAATGTTTTCATTTACAGTCTCTAAACAAAGGTATCTGTTTAGGTCACATTTTGATGGTTTGCCAAATAAAGGATCTAGAGAAAGCTTTACGGTGACCATCAAGGCCATTGCTGAATCTTTGGTGTCCCTCCTCGCCTCCAAAGGCCTACCAATGAGTTCGGACCCAGAGACAAATCCAGTGACAGACCCAAGGTTAGAAAAATCCATCCTAAACTCAATTTAAGATACCTTGGCCATATTTCAACCAGTTAAATTTTACATGTATACGTACATCCTAGTTACATTTTCAGGAGATGGAAAGTTTCATTTTTTTATTTTTATAATTGTAGTCGAGACCATCTCAAGCCCACTCAAGTCCAGTCTTATATAACGGAATAATGCCCCCTCCCACAAGAATGCATATGCATGTATTGCCTTTCATTTGAATTCAGAGTGGGGGGTCTTGCATTGGCTTGAGGGTTTTTCCCAGCACACATTGTTTTCGCTTGATTTCAACCCTAAACTTTTAAGGTGTCGACTCTATAGTAAGTCAGACGATAGAGTTAAAAAAAAAATAAGTATTTCTATTTAGTTTGATCATGGCAAGCCTTCACTCGGAGATCAATTTCACAAAGCTAGAGACAAAGTCTAGTAGTGGGAAAAACCCTGACAATGGTCTTGTTGGGTTTCATGTTGGTCTCAACTGCAATTTTTTTAAAATCAAGACCCTATAATCCCACAGTGCATTTGGATAGAAAGAAATAAAACAGGTTCGCATGTGGTAGCACTGGTTTGGGCATAATTTTCTGGGCGCTGTGTAAAATTGTCCTGGGCTTTTATGACTGCAATAATTCAATATCCTGTTAAAAATGGGAAAATGCAATTTGTAATTCCATTAATAAGATCAAAAGATCTTACAGAACTGTAAACAAATGAAAGTGTTTAAACATTTGTACCAGAAATTTCCATTGTACAAAATCATCGGCATTCTGAAATGTGAACTTATTTTCATATGTTAACTCAGTTTTGTTCCAACAGGTGTATCATTTGACGCAAAATACCTTGCAGAGGTCCCCCGGCAGTGTTTCCTGTGTTTCATGATTTTCAGAAATTTTTAGGAACATGTAGGAACATTGTAGCAAGGTGTACCTCTGTCATTCCCACAGTATGATTAGCGCCCAATTAGCGTCCATTCATACTAGAAATTTATTTGCTACTGAATAAACATTTTGTTTTCAAACTAAGTCAGATGTGTTCAGTACAGGTGTTCTCTGGAAGTAACGCTGTGACTTAAGTGACATTTTTATTTTGAAGTCTTGAAGATACGAGACATTGTCTTGTGTTCTGTTTGCCCTTTTATGCAGTAACAGCATTGTTGGAACGAAGGAGTGAAATACATGCATACATGTATCTGCCTCCAACACCCCCTCAGTGGGTGTCTGGTGCACTCCGGGAAACCGTACATTCCTACAGAAAATAGCTCAGCGCGTCCCGTGCAAAAGGTGCATAATTCTGACCATGTTATCTAGACAAAAGGAAGATTACACAAGGGTGAACTCAAGGTTTTACCCCAGGTGCCCCACAAAACCCCTGATAAACCTTGAGGTTTTCCTCAAGCTCCATATTGAACTGTGCAGTCTTTCTTAATTAGTTTTGTTAAAGGAAATGGCTTATGGTTCATGTCCCATGGATGACTAGGAAACTTTCAAAGATATTTGATCTACTAAGCATGTCACTACTGTATCCCTATGCACTGTAAACTCTGGCGACGAATGCATTAAAGCTGGGATTGCTGAAACACTTTTAAAATCAATAGAATGTTGAGTTATTCCATCAGTCTTTCTGAAGTCTTCACTTTTGTGTTTATTTTCTCCTAAGTCTTGGTGACATACATGTACCACAATCTTTCGAGTTGTATTGTCATGATTGTGTGATCAACTACACATATCTGGTAGGCACTGCATGATTTGTCATCTCTCAGAACTGGGATAGGACAAGAAGCAACTTGCACAACCCTGAAGTGGCACATGGTATAAAGACGGCACAGGATATCTTTACTAGTATCTTGTACGTGTCATGTGCAAAGAGAATTCCGACAGACGAAGGTAGTTCAGTGCTAGCTTCCACAACGAGTCCACACTCCCTATTTATTTTTCTCAATTCCAATTCCAAGAGGAGAACTTGGAAAGCTGCAGATCTGTGTATGTTGGGTATCCAGGGGCTTGAATCCAACTCATGCGGGACCGGTTTGTACTGGTGTGGTGCACCAAAGGGAAAGCTTAAGCCCCTCCCCCCAGTGTGGTCAGTTTTGTTTTCTGTTTTTACTTTCTGAAAAATGAAGATACAATATACACCTGCAACTTCAATTACTGGCTCTTATTGAGCTGTACATATGTAAGTCCCCCGTGGTGCAACTGAGGGTGGGGGTGTGGGTGTGGGTGGGGCTTGACCATCCAGGGTTATCTTGAAAGGGGATTAATTCCAGTCCAAGCCCTCAACACCTGCCCCCTTGACAAATCCTGGGAGTGCCAATAAACTACTGTACCAGTTTGCACTGATGTTCAGAAACTGCTGTGACTGTCTTCATGAACCTGTTTGCACTGAGACAGACAGTGTCCGACTTGCGAGGAACCGGTTTGCACTGGTGTTGAGAAACTGCTGTGACTTGACACTCAGGATTGAAAATCCACTAGTACAACACAGCTGCTTACGCAATCCAAGTGCCTTTTCCAATGATGATCAGGCAGTCTGAGGTCTGAGTTCTGTTGGTACAGCTTGTCACCTGTGGCCCGTTTCTCGCAGCATGCTCTCTAGAATCACGGTGGCCTCGTCATCGATGTAAGGCTGGTGTAGCCATGCTGAGGTGTAGGTCATGAGCACATCCCGGCTGCTAGTATGTGCAACATCCTCCACAATGGCCTTCTTGAGTGATAGTTCCTTGGCGTACATGTTCCCTAGACGTGAAGAAGTTTCCCCTGCACAAGGAATGCAAAACTATGTTCAATCATTGTTGATACCTCAACTGCATGTACTTGTTTATTGAACAGATTTCAAATAATGTAACTGGTCCAAGGAAATGAATCACAAACATATCTTGGATCCTATACACTACATCTTTTTGGAGCTCAGGTGGACGTCAAACTCATTTTTGTATGTTGAGGCAATGAATTTTTGGAAGCTAAGTTCAGCTTACCGTCATGAAGATGTTCCAAAACACAAAAAGAAATAATTTGATCAACTCACAAAATAGATGAACTGGCCATGTTTGGAAAAAAGGCTGCTCTCCCCCTGATTCAGAAAAGTTTCTCTCCATTTCACTGACGCCTTGGAGATGCTTAGTGATGGCTGCCATTTTATGGACGAGTTTCTCCTGACAAACATTCAGAGACAAGTAATTCATTCTTTTTTTCAGGCTGACAAGAACCATGGAATGGTTTGTGAAAACATGTTTTATTTCTCTCAGTATTTTATGGTAATTCTTGTCCAAACGCAACCCATGACACCTGCCTGTTTATTTGGCATCTTCTAGCCAGTTTCATACATGCTGCTTTCGACTTAATAATGAGACATACAGCTCTTTCCTTTCTTTTTCAAATTGACAGCTCCGTCTGCCAGTGAACAAAAGGACTGGGCTAACTGCTCTGGTTCCTGCCTCAACTATTACTTAGCCTTACAAGTAGTCTAATGACAATATTGACAGACTGGGTACAGTCTATTCACCTCTCCTGGTTCACATACACATGCATGAGCCTAAGGCTGTGGCTGCAACCACTTCAGATAGAGTTTTGTGTAATTTCAAGCCACAGCCAAGTAATTCAGACACGGCAATGCATGTACATGCCTCTAATCATGGGGGCCACTTTTGTAACAAGATTATAACATTGTCAAGACTTGTGTATCAAGTGCCTGCACTACAACAAACAGGCAACATGCGTCAGTAAATGAGTGACTCATCTACATGTATATAACAGACTGAAATTTCACAATTGGGCGAATAGGCCTATACATGCACTGCCCTATTTAGAAAACATGCATAAAATCGCATGCACAACCAGGCATAGTGCATCAAACACTCTCCGATGGTGTCAGCTCAAACTAGATGAACCTTTGCTACATTACAAAGTGGCCTATTCAGTTCAGTGTTCATGCATGTACGTGTAGCCTACAGCCCAGTTGGACATTGCCATTTCCAAACCCTCTTTCTTACTGAGGATGAGGACATTGAAGACATTTCAGAGGCTAACATCTGACAAGCTAATTCAACGGGGCAATCAGAAAGGCAAATTTCTGGAGCCTACCATTGAAATGTAGATGCTCGTCAGTTCAACACAGAGGTCGTCCAGTCCTTCTGGCATGTGCGTAGCCGTGGCAACATGGGAATCCGTTTCCACATTGGTGGCCTTTTCTGTCATGGTAGCAACCTCTGAAGATTCGCTACATTTGAGTAAAAAAAAACCTCGAAGTGACAGGTGGTACAAAAGAAAACACTGTATAGACCCTTTCCCTCCAATGACCCTCATCTGGTACACAAACCATTTGGGTCAAATTTGGGCTACACCACTCGCCAAAGCTAGGCCCGTCCAACCATGCAAGAAAGACCAAGGCTGTAGTCAGCCACTCACTGTGCCTGAAGCTTGGCAGTGACTATCTGCTTCACCACTGCCAGACCCTTTTCGTTCAGCCCAATCCACTTGTCGATGTAGTTGTGCCAGTCAGCGCAGTGGTCTTTGATGATCCGGGCGCTGCCTTGCAAGGGAGCTGACGGTGACTTGGTTGGGACAGTGACCACCACGACTGCAAAAGCAGTACAATGAAAAGACACATGGAGAAAGCGTGCTGCCTCTTGTCCCCCGAGTACAAGTAAATGGCAGCAAGGGTGGCTGCTTTTAACTCAGGAAAGAAATTAGCAACCTTCAAGATGCAGGGCTAGGAATTTCTAGAAATGCCTTCATCATCCCCTCATCCAACTCTTGAACACAAATTTACACCTCTGGCATGTCTCTGGCTTACATGTAAGTACCCCTTGATTATTAAATTCCCCAGGAAGCAATGGGAGACATCTGCCCCTTCCCCCTCTCAAGTTTCTCTTGACCCCAATCTTCCCCCTTAAGTTGTACGGTTATGAATTTGTTTATTTCCTTGGAAAACATTTCATACTCATGGGCCACTTTCCCAGGAGTATGTAATACTTGTTTATAGACTAATCTATAAAAAACTTAACCTGCTATTCATTTGAAATTGTAAGAAGCTGAATGCTCTGTCTACGTCTTGAGATAAATCTAGGATGATTTTGAGCACTATTCTATGCCTATGCGATCAACCACAGGTGAAAGGCCGCCATAATGACCACAGATATAGTATAAATATGGAGGAATAAGAACACAGGGAAATCTTTTCTTTTTTTCTTTTCTTCTTTCAAACTTGTCCCCCCTTAGTTAATACTAAACTGCCTTTCATATCTGTAGACCCCCCTCCCCCAAAATACATTGTTGCCCCAGTTTAAAGACCAACTCCAACAGTTTTAAAAGTTTTGAAAATAAACTATTATTGTGTTCAGTGTGTAATAAATTATCTATTTATTACCAATTCATGTCTGTATTGCGTCTGTATTTTTTTGGTAATTTTTGTAAACTTTTGAACTGTGTCTTCGAGTTTTATGAAAATTTTCCACAATCTGACTGCTGGTGGCGCTGTTGAGAAATGAAATTTGTCTAACATGTGCAATACCGGAGAAAACAATGAAACTGGTATCCCTGGCAAGACTAGTTCTGCTACAAACGTACATGTACATGAACATGGAGATACATGTGCGTGCATTGTGAACCAGGGATCGATCTGTGTGCCAGGTCTACTGGCCAGATTGTCTCTTTTTCGTTGAGAGTTTGTGCCCCTCACTGGTGGGTGTATACATATGAATTCTGCAAAAGAACCGGGTTGAAATTCTTTGAGTTTCCGAAGAATGAGAGCATTCTTAAACTTCATGCTGTCGTTCGCAGCTACGCGTGCTATGCATGCCTAAAGCGCATGCTGTATTTCCTTTCCACAGTACTAATATGTCACAGAAATCAATATTCATTAGATGCTAATGAGATGTGATCACACATCCATTTTTGCAATACAGGACTGGACTCGCAGGAAAAATGGGTACAAAGATTGTTTTACTAACATAAAAACATGTATGTATTGAAATGCAAGGGAGATATTGATTTTAGTAGACTTGGCTCTTCTCAATAAGATTTAAATATGAGAAATCTTAGCACCGTTAGAGTTGGCCTTTAAAATTGTAAGGGTTAAAAAATGTTTAAAAAGAGGCCGATGAATCAGAATGGAATTTTCCCCAAAAGGTTTGCTTCACATGCATGATGGTGCTCTTTTCCTACATGTACCTCCATCATGTCCATGCTTCTGTTCCTTGCTCTATGCTTATTCCAATCAATCTGCAGTTTAAAATTTTTTCAGCTTTCGGGAATCAGATATTATTATAACCCGCATTGCTAGAACTAGTCTGGGGCTAGTTCTAACTTCAGTAGCTTGGAGAAACGCCGCTAACACGGCAATTTAGCTTTGTGTGACCGTTAGAGTACGTACATGTACATGTACAGGCTCCCTGTACTAGGCGGGATTTCCCCTCATCAAGTCTGACCATGGTCTGACAATCGATTCATGATCTCGTCGTAACACTAAATACTCATACTGGGCTTACGTTCAGCTTCCGGGTCATCTCCCGACCCTTCATAATTGGCTTGACTACGGGATGACGACTGCCTTTTCTTTTTCTTAGAGATTCTCCCCCGGCTCTTTTCACTTCCAGCATTCGCAGAGTTCGCCATCATCAAACCACAACGACGTAGGCCCTGGGCCGGCTACGCACGGACATGTGCTATGCATTTGAAGCGCCCTCTATCCCCCAGGCCAGGTATAGTGAAGTGCTGCTTGCTTCCAAGCGAAGTTCTCGCGTAGAGAAGATGTGGCATTGTGTTCATCTATTAGCCTAAATAAATTACAACCAAGGGACTGTTCTACATTCTCAATTCAAAGATACATCAAAAGGCAACTTCCCACATGTCATTTTCCAAAACTTCAAACAGAGTGACTTTGATCATTTCAAGCACAAGCTCTGAAAAAGCCCTTGAGAGTTTAAACACATTTCTGAGCAAACTTTGTACCCACTTTTTTAACACATTTAACCCACGGCATGTCTTTTTATGGAATATGTTTAATGCTAAGCGGATTTCAAAAAGCTGAACAAACACATTTCAATAAACATGGCATGGCTTACTAAGCGTCTTTAAAAAGTGGGTGCAAAAAGTGTTGTTTTTACAGTGTGCAGATAAATGACGGTTTTGCAATCACTCTACAGAAAAACATGCATGAGTGTCTCACCCCTGTTGAGTATCCCGACAGGATTTTTGGTTAAATTTCTAGTGGCTCCTCTAGCCACTCGTAAACACGCCACACTGACAAGCAAGTCCGACTTTTTACTATTTTTTTGAAGTGCGAATTTATATATTCTACACCTGACGTTTTTTATTAGAAAAAAGTAATAATTTTATTGTTCATTTACAGTCCAAACCGAACCTTGACCTATCCATCCTGCAATCTTTTTACTGTCACGAAAGCAAGTTACCAAGCACACTTGTCGCATAGTATACGCAACAGAGAGCTTTCCAGGTTGCAGAAATGATCGTTCTCCTGCTGTCTGTTGCCTGTATGGCGGCAGCTGAACTTGACCTTGCTCCACTCTACACTCCAGCAACAGACGAGAGAGAGGGACGATACATAGTCGCCCTTAAGGTACGTAGATGCGTCCCGTGGCCCTCTGCTGCCCCACTCATTTTGGGTTAAACACTATAAGGACGGAAGTCAAGTACATGTACATTCAGCTGACGTGTGGCTTTCAAGACTTACATAAATTATGATATATCAAGTTGATCCGCCAAAAAAGTCTTCTATAGAAGAGGGTTCGTCTTTCCAAGGAAATGGTTCTGGCAAATGTCAGGACATCGGGACAAGCCAATTGAGGGCCCATCATGGAGGCCATACACAGTACAAACTTTGAATTTTCTTCGGAGCAAAACCTTATTGCTCATTTTTAGTTGAGTCACCATGCGAACGTAAAATGTGTCGTCATGGCTCATTTACATGTTATTGATGTTATAGATTATCCAAAGTAAGTACCGGCTATTTATGTACTCTTTCAAGATTATGAAGGAAATCGGTGATGCGTAACCACATAAATGCACTGATATCAATGTTTAATGCCCGAGGGGGTCGGGATCCCTGGCGGGAAGCTTCCCCTATTAGTGAAAAGCTGTATTTTGTTCTTGTGATGTGCCCCCCCAAGCTGATACTGTGGCTCTTCTTATGCCTGAATCAGGTAGGGGATGGCAAAAGGTTATTAACCATATTTCCATCTTTTAGCATTCATTATTTATTTAATTCTTCAAACCCTTATTCCATCTTAATTTAAATATTTCAAAATCACTGTACATAATAAGATTTTAAAGGCACAAATGAGAACACTTGCTATCACCGCCATCACGCCACCAACCCAGCCAGCGATAGCAGAGACGATCTACAGTGGTCAAAAATGTTTCAAATTTTTTCCTGTTTATTCACCGTTCTTAATCCAGTGACAGCGATCCATGTGTTTACCCAAAAAATAAGTAACTACTGGAATTTTCTTTCAGGCCGGGAGTCAAGATGTGGACGACTTTCTGGGTAATTTGGTGACAAATGACGGCATTACAGTCACCATGAAATATCGCGATGCGGCTTTCAGAGGCTTTGCTGCTGGAATGACTGACGACGCTCTACAGATGGTAGGTTTTCGAATAAAGACAACAACAACAATGACAACGACAATAACGACAACAACAACGACAACAACAACGACAACAACAAACAACAACAACACCAGAAACAACCTACTACAAACTCGTCATAAAGATAGCAGTAGTTTTAACAAAGTGCATAATCACTTTGTCCGACAGACTGTCCTATAAAGGAAACGTGGGGCCTAAAAATCAGATCTGAAATTAGTGGGAAAAAATGGTAAAATCCAATTGATCTGTAGTCAAGAGATCTGTAGTGTGAAAGGATGAGGTCAAGCTACAATCCTGGCCAAATCTCGTTGGGCCCAGGCCCCCCCCCTCAATGTTGGATGTCGATGCGCGGCCTGTGCTCCAGCTCGAAATGACAACATTGAACGTGGGATTGGGGGCCATGGGGAGGGTAAACACGCATGTACATGTGTGTCGCACTAATTTTGGCAGGATTGTAGAACATCATCATATTGATATGTATAGTGTGGACTAGTGATCAAGTTTCGGAGAATACTAAACTCAGGAATTGATGTTATGCTGATTAGAATTACCTCATTTTTCAAGCCGTGATCTAATACGGCCGTTTCACAATAGAGCGCCTCCAAGAGTTTGTAAAGCGTTGACCAACCACAGTGCGCGAAATCTGTCGACCCGACGTGCGTTTGGAAAGGGTCGACGATTTCGCGCACTGTGATTGATCAACTCGTTGCAAACTCTTGGAGGCGCCAAGAGAAACGTCATGCAGTACCCATTGTACTTCTGTCACAGATTTGCAAATATGCCGACACTGGGAATACCTACCAACCTTCGACGATGGTTAAGTCATGGTTCGTTATAATGTGACAGCTTTTATCTTTACACTTCAGGGCCTTGACCTTGAGGGTTAAGCCTTGGATTAGTCCTTGGTCTTTAAGCTTGCAGGTCAAAGTCTTGGTCTTGAGGATCAAAACCTTTTCTCCCAACACTGGCTTGTACTCAGACTGACATAGGCCCCTATGTGAAATGGTATAAAGGATGGCGTAATCATATGATATATAAATAAAGTGTGAATATTCACCGACAAACATCTTTCATCTTTATCCGATTAACATTTGACACTCTGAGTTTGCAAGTTTTTATTTAAAGGATAGCTGCAATCAGTCTGTTTTAATGAAAACCTTCAAAATGCAACATTCTGTCTCAGATACCCTTAATTCCAACTTCCGTTTTAGTTTTTCAAAGATTGTTTCGTTGCCTTTTTTGCTTTCATGCTAACAAGTATATCCATATTCATGAGCGCAACTGTGACGCCATCTCGCGGAAAGAAAGCCTCAATGTAACACTGAACTGTAAAAAAGTGACTGATGAGAAAATGCAAGTGCATTAATACGAAGAAGCACACTGACGTATTCACATCAATATTTCACAAGAATGAAAATACAACTGAAGGCCTCGTTGTTGAAAATGAATTATAATATGACAGGAAAAGTGCTTGTTTAACCACATCTGTATGAAGAATTACAATTTCTCTTGACATGTATACATAGAAAGAGAATTACTTTCTGATTGCAAGGGTGAGACCAAGCTGTTGAGAAGCTGGTTGATATGCCAAGTGGGTGTGCAGTGAAGCGGGAGCAGGGTGTGGCTAAATAAGGCATTGGAATGCAGGGGAGTGGCATTCGCAGTCACCACGTCACAATGTTCTATTTTTTTAGGTCACAAGATGTATAGAATTAACATGTTTTAATAATGATTTCAAGTGACATCCGTAGTAGCCCTTGAACCGGATATGCTTGATCGCCATCGGGGGTCGGACAGGAATTTCCCAGAGTTTTTGTCCATAGAATCACGAGACAAGGTTTTGTCTCTGAGGTTTACTTTAATGAATTATATCTAAAGGATTTCAAATGTCTTATAAAACCGTATTTAGGAACAGGTTTGATTGATATAGGGTGTATTTTATTCGCTGTAAGTAACGAAACGCTTGTTAAGTAGAGTCGGTGACTGTCAGCCTTAGCAAGAGTAAAACAGTTATACAAATTTATCATTTGTCTCAGTATTTCAGCTGGGGTGTCGGGACTGAGCTGAGGTGGAATCTTCTGTTACAGTAAAAAGTTTCTCTTATTCTCAGGACGTGTCTGAAGAGCTTTACACCACACATAAGATCCACCACCCAACACAACATGTTAGCAAAACTATTGGGGTCCTGATTCAATCTTCGGCTGTCATTTTATGCTAGTAAAGAAAACGAGAGACAACGCCCCCCCCCAAAAGAGCAAAAGTGGCGTGTCGTTCACATAATATACTATGAAAGAGTTCGGACATGTAGACAGGTGTATAGCCGTGGTCCGGGGACTTGCCCATATTGATGCGTGTTCATTTAAAACTAAGGAGAACATTTTAACGTTGACGACCATTGTTTGTGTTAATGTGCATTTTTGCTACTTGCTGCACGTGGCGTTTTAATCACTCAGTCTTTACACAGCAACGTTCTGTGCAGTAAGGCTAATGATTTTGTTATCTCCTTAATTTGAACACCGAGAGCCAATGTCTCTGAAATGGCCGAGTGGTTAAGCTCACGGTTATCAGATCATTGGAGGATGGGTTCGAATCCCGGACAGGCATGGCTTTTTTTTTATTTTCGCAACGCTTGCTGTCAGTCAGTAGCTATAAGAGACTCTAATTCACCCCGTCAAATACCAGCAGTACCTTAGCCGACCGGGAAAGCTCTGCGGCTGGGACTGTCCGCGAAGTCCAGGTGAGCGCCTAAGTACAGGTTCGAGACGTATGG